CCTCCAAACTCCTCAGTGTTGGATTCTTGCATGCTTTATTTATTTATTTATTTATTTCGCTCTCAACTGAGCGGTTGAGGCTGTTGAGGCGCGCGCGCACCGGAGAGCAAGTCAAGTCGTGCCGGACCGGACTGACGCGCCAAAATCGTCGCAACTCAAAACAAGAAGAGCTGCTCACAATTTTATGGGGGAATAATCAATCATGTCTTCGCCTGATGATGGCATGTGCTCGTTTGCGTAGCTGACCTCGGATTTCTGGACTTGTATTTGTAACTAGTACAAGGAATGGCTTTCCTTTTGACGTGCTTCTTTCTGTCTTGGTGAGTCGCAAACTCTCGGACTTTTACGCACGACGAGTGCGCTGTTTTTCTTTCCTTTTTTTTTCGTTGCATCATTTGCTAAACTCTTTTATTATTTTAGAAAGCTGTTTTTAATTTCGGTTTTTTTTTTTGCACATGTGCTTTAGTTACAGCGTATGCAGTGCTCGGGGGACACAGCACAGCGAGAGCAGTATCTATTTGGATAACATCACGCGCATATTGGATAGATTACTGGACGGCTATGACAACAGGCTGCGACCTGGATTTGGAGGTAGATGCTTTCATACACTTTTTAATCACAAATCACCGTTGGGTTGTTGTTGTTTTAGTGGCTAAAAGTTAAGACAAGTTTTTGTCTCTGTGCTGGGTGTGACTGTGACTTTGCTTGGTGTGTGTGACTGTGGTGTGACATTTGGGCAAATATATGACATGGAACTGTTTAGTTGAGCGTGAGATTGAAGCTAAGATGATGTTTTATGACTACGACAGTGGAGATATTCGATAGAACTAGCATGCAATAAAACAGTACAAATCCAGTGTCCTATTACCTAGTATCAGAATACTGCAAAATCAGTACAATCAAGTCATATATGTTTTTCTTATATACCATACATGCAGTTTTACACAAAATCATATAAGATATGAATATGTTGGCGTTTTCTTTTCCCTTGATTATTTTATCATTTTTGGAACATTCTTCAGAGCGTTTTATGGCAAACCTGGAAAATGTAAATGCCTAACTGCCTGTGCTGTAGGTCCAGTGACAGAAGTCAAAACGGACATCTTTGTTACCAGCTTTGGACCCGTTTCAGATGTGGAGATGGTATGTAAACAAGCATCACAAAGTTAATTCATTCTGCTTGTCATGCACATGCGTGCGTCTTGCCCCGTCGTTGAATAGACACGAGAGCAAATGTGCACTATTTGATGCTTTTTTTTTTCTCCCTGGTAACTCAAGTCCTAGCCTTCATTATTCCAGCATTTGGGCAGATGTCATTAGTCCAGCTTAGTCGGACTTTAATCTGTCTGACAATCCCCCCCGTGAGAGAGATCGAGAGAGATGTGGCTGATGTTGGGACGGGATAGGCTGCTGGCTACACTTGACAAGCAGGCCGAGCGCTATACGTCTGTCGAATATGATGTTGCCATTCGGGGCTTTTCATGGGGTCTCTAAAGTCTTGGACCACCGTGCGATGGTGGTGATGGGGAATGATCTATTTAGAATGCCATGGGAGGGAAAAAAGAAAAAAAACAGCTTTCCAGGGTAGTGAGCTTACCCATTTGACCTCAAAGCCTCCGTGGTTGACACTTATTTAAGACTTGCTGCCTGGCTTATTTTATTTTTCAAAGACCCGATCGTCAATTTACTGTCAAAGCTATCGAGATGAAATCAGACACGCTTTGAGGAATTTCAGGAATGAATTGACTTTGTACCCTCACGAGCCAACGCTGTGTGTTTTTTAACGCGCTTGTATGTTGCAACGAAGTATTTCCAATATATTTCTTGAATGATTTTGAGATTATTTTGATGTGAACTGTTCTGTATGGTGATTTGTTATGCCCCGCCAGCTGTTATGAAAGCACTATTTCAAAAAAGAAATATTGTATTGTAATTTATTGTACACAAGAAGGGCGAGATATTCGAAAGAGACCCCAGTGTGACACAGTGCAGTGCAAAGTACAATGAGGATGATAAAAACATCAATTAAAACCTCTTAGACAGTGTCGATCAAAAATGGGCATCATAGCATGTTTTAAGGAAGGCTGTTAAAAGTATTGGATCATTCCTATGTCGACTGTACTGGGAAGTCACCCCTTGTGGAGCTCCTAATTGGACAGGGAAGGAATTGTACAGTCAGGGGGTCTTCAATATGGGCCAATCACGCCTTTGTATGAGTCAACAAAAAATAAATATATCGAAAAATACATGCAAAAATGATGTTCACAGAATGGGATGTCATTCTATTGAAACATACATTAAAAATGAATGAATACATAACAGACAAAAAAAAAAATAATGCGCCGCATTCATCAATGTGAGAGTCATTTTCCTCAATTGGTTCTTAGCCATGTTTTTAGGAAAAAAAATCCGTCAGATTTCTGAAATTACAGTGAAGATATGTTTACAAACAACGTATAAAATGAGTGGTTTTTTTGGTGTCATCATCACGCACTTGAAACATGTGTTAGTCTTCCTTGGAGGGCTCTTAGGAAAATAGACTTGCTACATTCAACAGCTCAATATTTTTTTTTGAAAAGTATGTAGTCCAGTACCGTAATTGTCTAAGGATGACTGAAATGTTGAAGTGCATACTAATGTGCCGAGCAACGTTGGCCAGGGAGGAATACTCCGCTGTAAACATTCAATACATAAATCAGACCATGCCAGCGCTCTGCTCAGCAGGTTCCAACAAAACCATGGCGCATGCCCCATCTGCCAGGCTCTTCAGGTTAGAAGGGTAGCGGCATGATGAAAGTCATCGTAATTAAGTAGTAAACATTCTACTCGTCCTCTCCAGGAATACACCATGGACGTGTTCTTCCGGCAAACGTGGATCGACGAGCGCTTGAAATTCGAGGGCCCCATCGAGATCCTTCGACTCAACAACCTCATGGTCAGCAAGATCTGGACGCCAGACACGTTTTTCCGCAACGGCAAGAGGTCGATCTCTCACAACATGACCACCCCCAACAAGCTGTTCCGCATCATGCAGAACGGAACCATCCTCTACACCATGAGGTAACAATGCCGTGGCCAAGATCAAAATAGAGTGGCGGATGGAGCCCTGGATCGCAAATCAAACAAAGATAGCATCCAAAAAAAAAAAAAAGGATGCACAGACTCGCGTAAATCCATTCCAAAACAAAAAAAAATGTGCCATCTGATGGCGAAAACAGCCTTTTGGATAGCAATTCAAACGAGCCTCTTTGTTCCAAAAAGAGAGATGGCCTGGATGATAAAGTTCCTCCTGTGCGATGGAGGGCACTGGCTCAGATTTCCCGAAAATAATTGGAACATCTGAACGCATAAACTTCTTTTGTCAAACTCCAAACTAATGATGCACTGCGTTCTGCATCATCTTTTGAAGCGGCACATCCACAATGCGGCTGGATTCACACCGCACCGTTCAAAACACCCAACCAGGACTTTGCTTCACGGTAGCGTGAAGCAGACTAAACACCGCCAAATGCCGATTATTCATATCTTAATTACGCATGTGACAAGAGGTGTTCTCATTGTCATTGGGTGCGTGGTGTTTCACGTTGCTTCCTAATTGGCTGCAGTTGCATTTTATGTCACAATCACGGAATCCGGATCAGTTGACCGGAGTGTTGACCACAGATCGTCAATATTGAACTTGGTTATGTTACAATTGTCGGCCCTGACTGCTCTCTTAGCAGATTGGGGTGTAAAATAAAACCCGCTCTTAACACACCACAAGATAATCGGTAGGGATACTTTTTTTTTTTTTACAGACACCGGATAATCAGACCATTACTGACTTTGCGAGTGGCGACTTTAACGTTTGTTTACCTCCGCGCTCTTGTCGCCTCTGTTTCTGTACCGCAGATTTGCGTTTCAGCCATGACAGTGGTTCCTGGGTGTTCATGAAATTCAGTTAGATGTGACAAAAAAACGGATAATGGGATGGAATAGGAACTGAGAATTCAGAGCTACAGTGTAAATCCATCCTACGTCGCGAACGCTCTGATACTGCATGTGGCCATTAATTATCACAGAGCTCATTTTCATCCAAGGCTTTTTGCATTCCCTCAACCAACAGACAGCCTTTGAAAATGCGCTCAAGACATCAAATATGAAGTAAAAACACTCCTCAACTCTTCTCTATTCCGACAGATTAACTATCAATGCAGAGTGCCCCATGCGCCTGATGAACTTCCCGATGGACGGACATGCATGCCCACTCAAGTTTGGGAGCTGTGAGTTTGTCTTTCTTTTTAATTAATTTATTTTTTTTTCTTTCTTGTTGTTGTTTTGTGAAGTCTCCGTGACAGCTGCTGCCACTCTCAAATGATCACTGTGTCACTGACTAACTGGCTGGCTGACAGAACACCCTTCATAGATGTCAATTATCAAACGCGCAGCTCATTTAAGCAGCTCGGGGTCTGTCATCATGCGTCACTTTTGCAGGCTATTAATTAGCAAAAGAAAACAGTTGGGATTCATTGTTTGAGCAGCAGACTTTTTTGCCAGCCTGTTTGGATTGCTCAAAACTGTTGAAATCTCCCATTTCCTCGTTAGAAGTGCCTCAGTTGGATTTGGTGTTAAATGTTTCAAAGCCTCCCCCCCTGATCCGTTCTCCGCAGATGCTTACCCCGTCAGTGAGATCATGTACACGTGGAAAAAAGGTCCTCTGTCTTCCGTCGAGGTGCCGCAGGAGTCATCCAGTCTCTTGCAATATGACCTCATCGGTCAGAGAGTGTCAAGTGAAAGGCTGAAGTCCAATACGGGTGAGCAAAGATCCTTGGGTAACGATTTTCACGGTGTTAGCTTGATGGACGCGAGTACTGGATTTGGACTCTTAAGTTCTTTGGATTCAAAGTCATCACCTGTCTTTGAGCAGTGCTATTGGACACGCACACATACACAAAGAAAAACAAAAATGTCTTGCTCATACCGTTCCGACAAAGTTGTTAATAGAAATGTCTTTGGCAGATTGTGCTCTGTGAGAGAACAATTAGGATCTTGGTAACCGAGCGGTCAAGCAAACTAAGCTTTACAATTCACAGTTAGCCATCCTGTAGCCTTCCAGTCCTTGTCGAGAAATGAGGACGCAGCATCAGGGAAACTTTGGGTTTTATATCTTATTCATGACGACTTTGATCATTCTGTGTTTCATGTTGTTAGCCTCTCCGCTTATCAGATTTTCCGATTCTTTATTCAAAAGTAAACAACTTGGAATAGAATCAAGCGGATAGTTGCAAGAAAGTACTCTGAATATATATTTGCAGGTTTAAGACGCGGTTACAAGTCTCACATCCAACCAGTCCAAAATGCAAGGAACCGCGTCTTTGCCTTCAAAGCTTGCCTACAAAGTTGAACTCTACTGTCTTCTTTCCCAGGGGAATACGTCATCATGACCGTCCACTTCCACCTGCAAAGAAAAATGGGCTTTTTCTTGATCCAGACATACATTCCCTGTATCATGACCGTGATCTTGGCTCAAGTCTCCTTCTGGATTAACAAGGAGTCCGTTCCAGCTCGGACGGTATTTGGTAAGAATTCTTTTAAACTTGACTTGACACGCAGGTGTGATGTCAAAGACGATAAAGGCTTTCTCAAGTTTGAGAAGCGTTCTAAAAGACCAAGCCAAGTAGTTTTTGGTTTCAGTTCCCAGAAGAGTTTCTGAAAGTATCCAGAAGTCAAATGAAAAAAAAGAAAACAATCTGAATGTATCAATTTAACGCCCACAGTTTGACCCCAATGCGAGTCTCCTTCTGTAAACTTTAAGCTGGCATACTTTCCTCAGTTACCAGCACATTCAGCCTCAACCCCGATTGGCTCTTGAAATAAATACCTTGGTAGCACAGGCAAACAAAGACAGTCCGTGATATTTTTTAACCTTTCTTCATTATCTCTATTCCTCCTCCACGGTGGTTGAGCTGAATTAATTGGGAATAAATGTCCTTTTTGAAATTGCTCATGCAAAGGGACTGAGAGGGGGAGGATGTTTATACTTGGCCTGCTTCTGAGCACTCACAGGTTCCGCTCGCTCACATTACATTACGCTACAGTTGCCACCGAGCTCTCGCCGAAGGGGGCGAGAGAGAGAGAGAGAGAGAGAGAGAGAGAGAGAGAGAGAGAGAGAGAGAGAGAGAGAGAGAGAAAGAGGAATAAAGACGGAGACAAAGCAGAGAGCAAAAGATGGGACAAGTAATCGTCGTACCCTCATGTTAAATCTAAAAGTAGATGGAGCAGTAGATTATGTGTTTGCATTTGGGGATCAGGGCAGCAATCCTGAAAGCTGGCAAAACTTCTATCCAAAATATCGTTATTGGGGAGACCCTTCTGGAAAGCAGGCATTCAAAAAAAAAAAGGCAAGTTTTTTAAGTAACTATTCCCAAAATTATTTGGGTCAAGAGTCCAGTTGTGGGGCCAATAATATGGGATACTATGATCCTACAGTATGGTTGTAAAAAGTCTACACATTCCTATATAAAAGTGTTTGTGGTATGTGCTGACTCCGATTTGAGCTTCCCCTCTTGGGAAAAAAAAACAAATTAAAAAAAAAATTGAAATGTTTCGGTTTAGGGTTGTGCTTCTCCGCGCAGTGTTTAATGGCCAACTTAATTTTAGATTATGCCATGCAGTTGAATTGCATTTTCTTTCCCATCATGTCATGAGGACTGGCGAGTGAGACCATTGCGTAAGGTGTTCTCGAAAGATTCTCAGAACGTAGACCTTACCAAGTAAAACAAGCCTAGATCAAATGATTGGCTCGAAAAGCAGAGAGGCACCACAGATAACGGCAGGATTGCTTCACTCCTCCTCCTTCTCAAATGGATGTGCCCATCACCCTCGAACAGTATCCATCTGAAAATGAAATCCTATCTATATATGTCCACTTGAAGAATTTCCAATCAGATTTGTGAGTTTTTGTGATTCCTCCGGGACGTCATGAGACTTTGCGATTTTCTTCAAACTTTGCGTTTAGTCTCAATCTCTTGTACTCTTGCGCTCACAACACAAATGGATGAGCTGGAGTATTACGTTTTCGCATTAAGTGATCTTCTCGGAGGATGATGGTTTAATAATTTATATTCAATGGAGGTTTTAGTAATCCTATCCTCAGTTGCTTCCCCTTGCTTGACACAGGTTAGAAACGTGTCCCTCCTGAGTTTTCCACAACCGCGAGATGTGTTTAATAAAGACGAGTTATCCTCCGGCGGCTTGCGTAACCTGTTGCCCTGTACTGCAGTGTTGCAAAGGTTGGCTCTCGTGTGGTTTGTCGGTTAAATCCATGTTTTCCGTTTTAGCGAGGAGCTTGTCAAGTTTATTTCTTGTCGCCATCAAAGCCCGTAAGAGTCTGACTTGCTCATGTGCGGGTTATAAAGCAACCCCTGACGCCAAGGTTCTTCTAAAAAGCTCATGTCATTGATTCGGGAAAGCCATCCATTTGTGATTGTTTTAGTTTGTGCATTGCGGAAGGTGCATTTAATGGCTGGGAGAGATTCAAAATGGAGACGTAGAGAAGCTATAAAGCACACACACAGTACATTAAGGCAATGGTATATTGTGGACTGCATCGTCAACATCCGCTCTAAAAGCTTAAAGTCCCTTGAGCAGAAGTCTCCCAGAGTTAATTGAGTGTATTCTAATTTGTACCTTGCTTCCCACCCCTGCAAAAGCCCATAAACGCCGCAAGCATTTCATTTCTGTCCCGTCTTTATATCATCAGCCCTGTCCCTCGCCCCCTCACTCTTTCTTTTGCTTCCTTCTTGCCTCTCGCTGTTGGCCTGACAGCCTTTCTTCAATCCCCTTCACCATATTTAAAACGGAGGCAATCAACATCGCTTGAGGAAGATGGAATGTTTTTAAGGGGGTTTCTGTCCATCTGATGCAGCGATGCCTCACAAGAGAGGCATTATGAAGTCACATTAGGTACTTTAATTTCCTGGGCTGCTAATGAAATCCCAAATTTGGTAAAAGCCTGGGCAGCAGTCTTCAATTACTTGTTCCCCCCACCCCCACTTTCTTGCTTTCACAATGAAAGTCAATTAGATATCTCATTTGTTAAGAGGCCTCTTAAGTGTATGTGGAACGTCAGCAATTTTGATTTGTCTTCAGGATAGCGAACAGGCCCGACGGAGATAATGACTTTGATCCACCTGCTACTGACTGACACCGGAGTTCAAACTTATTTGGCAGTGTCCTTGTGAGAGTTCGATTGTTTACTGGCCGCAGCACAAAGTACATTTATATGGTAAATGGGCTTTAACTTGTACAGAATTTGTGCCTTTTTAGATGGTCACTTCATTCACTCGGTCAAACTGATGACTGGAATATATAGTCTTGATATGGATTTATTCACTTGGGGATGCAGCATCTACTTGGTTTTCAATGTATTTTCAAGGCTACACCTTGTTATGGTCACAAGGGAGCAGGGACCCACAAGTGACTGCTTCGGTGGCATCCCCTCCAGAACTGAGACAAACACAGAGCGGCTAGCATTCATTCTGCATTCAGCTGAATAATCCATCATTCACTTTTCTACGCCGCTCGTCCTCATTTGGGTCACGGGCAACTGGAGCCGACACCAGTCGACCTTGGGCGAGAGACAGTACACCCTTAGTCACTAGTCAATTACAGAAACAGACTAAAAGCTATTTACACCGATGTGCAATCGAGAGTCATCGACTCGCACGACGAACACGCTAAGTCAACATCGGTGCCTGAGCCGAGGTTTGTACCCCAAACCAAAAATGCATTTTGATTTGTGTCTGGTTATCACTCTCAATAGCTATCTCCATGTTTGCAAATCACCTGTGTGGCCATGGTGCGGTCAATGCAAGGGATATCATGTCATGGACAGATTAGCTTCCCCTGAAGTGACATTTTGGCATGCAGCACTGAGTTGAAACACCACCTGGTCTGACATTCTTTGTGACTTGCTGAAACAAGCTGAGCGTTATTGGAAGAGTCAGTTGTGTGCGCGTAACACAATGACATCAATGTCAGCACCCAGCATCCACCCATCATTCTGTACGCAGGTATCACCACCGTGTTGACCATGACCACCCTTAGCATCAGCGCCCGCCACTCCCTTCCCAAAGTCTCCTACGCCACAGCCATGGATTGGTTCATCGCCGTCTGCTTCGCTTTCGTCTTCTCCGCCCTCATCGAGTTCGCGGCTGTCAACTACTTCTCCACACTGCAAGCTAACCGGGAGCTACGCAAGGCGGCGGCCATGAAGGCGGCGGCTCAAGAGGCCGCAGCTGCAGCTGCCGCCCCAGCTGCCAGCGCAGGAAATGATGGAGAGGTTTCCTCGGTAAGTGTCTCTCTCACATGACTGTATAAATAACCAATGTACAACCTACAAAGTCTCCCAAAATATCATTATCTTACTGTATAAACTTGTGCCTGATATAAAAACAATGGGTTGGTATTCAGCACAAAAAAACACAAAGTGAGGTTTCATCCAGATACATTATTTGGGCATGAAATCCTGGTACTGTTTGTTAGTTTCTTTGCTGCACAGCGTGAACTGCACAAGTCAAGATTTTGTGTTTTGATGTACTCTCTGTACCGTAAATGTGTGTTAGGTTGATTTGTTGGTTGGTTGGTTGGTCAGCTAATTGGTTGGAGGGCTCATTGGTGATTTCTGGTATGCCGGTTGGCTGATTTTTGATTGGCTGACCAGTTGGTCAGGTGGTTGGTCAACCTCACGCGATGACGACTGAATGGATTTCCACAAAACTCTCAGGAGAGGTGTCATTTGGGAGGAAGCGAAGAAAAATCGGTGGAATATAACTGCGTGGAAACATGCTGAGGGTTGTTTCTATCCTCAGCGGAGTTACAGTAGGTGGTGAACTCGATATCTTATTAGCGAGAGAATTATGTAACATTTTAGCTCTCGGGCTGGTGACAGTCTTATGTTTGGAACATGTGGATGAATTTTGACCATAAATGTTGAAAATCTGAAGACGAACTTGGGATTTAGGCTCTCTATAAGGGCTCAGGTGCGGTCTACAGGGGCTTGTAGAGACGTCTTTCATAAAATTCTTGGATCCTAATGAGTAAAATGTTCAGGTTGTGCGGCTGTTGCTGATTTTGGCCATACAACTACTTATACTGACATTCAAGCTACCTCTGAGTAAGAACTAAATTAACGCTGCTTGCATGGAAGTCAGGCAAATGAACCATGCGACTAAACGTTGAATTCAACATCATTCCCTCATGTTTTCAGTTTCCAATGGTTTTGGCTCATCTTTGAATTATTTATAAAACTCCTGTATTGGATTTCACGAGCGTATCTAATGTTGTGGCCATTGAATTCAAACACACGCCCCCCACCTCATTCATAAGAAATTCATGACTACCTTTGCTGGAGTCTTGCACACATTCCACAAGCACAGCAAACTTTGCCCCCACCGGCAAGCAAGTTCCTTCGATTCCCTGCCCCGCTCTTTATTGGACTGGCTACTGCGTTTATTTTCCCTTCATACACTGCTCATGCAAGCACTTAAACCCTGCCATCTCCACTCCATCCATTTCCATTCAGGGGCGAGCATCCCTGTCTAATCTGCCGCACACCCTCAAACACATATACACGCTCGCTTCTATATGCACTCGCTTGCTTAATCTGGAGTATTATGCGTCCCACAGCCATACAACGCACTCATCCATTTCTAAAGTGACTTATCTATTCATCTAGCCTAAGTATCCATCCTCCTCTCCTCTCTGGCTGCCCTGTTACCGTGCGATCAGCACAGAGAATGACATGAGGAGACAGCCAGTAGTTGCCCGTGTGAATGACGCTGCCGCAGATTACGTAACGGCCATAGATTAAGGGAATATCCAGCGGAATGCGAAGGGAGGGCACCCAACACACTGGAAGAGCCAGCCTGGGCCAAGATGCAGAGATACGGCGTACAGTGGATGCGCGGAGGGAGGCTGGTCGGGGTTTGTTTTTGTGTTGCGTGCGTGCGTGCGTAAGCGAGTTGCAGTGAAAAGCGCCGAGTGGGTGGGAGGCTTCATAGAAAAATGACTGCTTTCACCAAAATATGTAGGAGGGCAATGAAAAGAAGGCGAGGAAAATAGCATGCGACCACGGGTAGAAATAGCCGCCAGCCAGTCACGATTTTTAACATGATGACTTGTTATGGCTGCAAGGTAGAGACATAGCAGGAAATAAATGATTATTATTATTTTTTTTTTTGACAAGGACCAGGTCTTGCAAGATCATGAAGGTTAAAACTTTTTGGGGGTTGTATGGGAGTTGATAGCTTATTATCGAGGTGCGTTCTCTGACTCGGAAGAGTTTGACCCGAGTTTGGTGCAACCGCAGTGGTTGACAAGCATTTGAATTCATTCCAATTAAATATAAACAAGTTTGAAAGGGATGGAAGACCCCCGTGTTCTGCATTCACATATTCTATCCGAAGTGCCTTTTCAATTGAAACCACCTTCCACGTTGGCGTCACATACAGGTGGCAGTACGGGGACGTAAACAAACATGTCTGTTCATCTCCTATTTTCTCACTAGAAGCCATCATTTTGATTTTCCTAGCGCAGATCATTAAAAAAATATCCATATCTATCTATCTATATCTATATATATATATATAGCTCCACCGAAGAAATACCGTAACTTAACAATAGCATTATTAAAGTGGTTGGAATTTGTAATGGTGATGGCACCGCATTGCATCATACCGAGAGCTAATTCTAATAATTGCCCTCTTATGAAGCGAAGTAAGGTGAGCAAAATGTTATGAATGCCTCTCAGTATGAAGCTAATGAAGTGGCCAGTGAGTGCGCCGCACGCTGTAAGTGCAATTAAGTGCATTCTTTTTCCAAACGATGGTAAAAGTGATTAAAAACTGGGTCAGGGTTGTTTCATTTCAGTCATATATTAAATAGCCAGTATTTACATATACTCTCCATAAATGTAACTTTCCACAAGCTCGTTAACGCCCACTCGCCACCCACACGGATGACCTTTTGAACCCATTCCCAAAACCACACATATTGGCAATGTGCAGCTACTGTAACTTTTTTTTCCGCACACACCTACACTTACACTGTCTCATACACACGCACACAAAACATTTACATAGATTGCAACCACCCCCGCACATACAGTACACAGCTCCAAACATCATATTCACTCGACCAATAGTGAGTGACCATCTGTGCCATGTCAGTGTCTGTGTGTGTGTGCGTGCGTGTGCGTGTAAGCTCATGCCTGTGCGAGGGGGAAAAAAAAAAACCCTATATAGAACAGAGGATAAAGACGAGCGCATCCCACTTGGATTTGACCAGCAAGAAGCCAAAGAAGCTAGTGTGTCATTATCAGAAAAAGCTCCTCTATGGGATCTGTTGCCATGTATAGTACACACACACACACACACACACACACACACACATACACACACACACACACACACACATACACACACACTCACACCATGTGGTGGAATTGATGAACAGACTGGTGATGGAATTTACAAAACCGCCCCATGGCACCCCAAAATAATTCTCTGATTCCCCCCCACATTCCTAAAAATAGGGCTCAACGGTATGCAACGGAATAATAACACGTTTTTATTTATTGATCAATCAGGATTTAGTCATTTATTGTTTCATAGGTCTACTTTGAGCGGGAAGCGGGGTCCACTCAACAACAACAACCTCCCAAGCTTCCATTGATACCTATCGGCAATTTAAAGTCCTCAGTGTGCCCAGTGCACATATTTTGGGAGTCCGGGGGAAAGCTGGTGTACAGTTATGTAAAAGTAAGGGTACTTTTTAGACTTTTTTTTTTTTTTTTTTAAGTGTCTGTTCAGGCCTATTTTTCTCCTTGCGAAACTGAAACTTAGATTGTCAAAATAGGCTCATTACGCGATGTGTCAATGCCCCGACAAAAACAACAAAAAAAAAATGCCTTGAAAGACTTATTATTCTTTGACGTCACTGATAAAAATGGACTTCCAATTAATTATTTCTTGATGAACCATAACGGACAAGCGTGATGGAAAAAAAACGGTTTTTTTTTGTTTGTTTTTTTTTTGAGTGAAGTAAGAAACATAATGAACGAATCGAAATGAAATATGTAAATGACAGATCTGATACGATTGCGGCCGAAACAGAATCCATATCATTTTGTTTGTTTTGTTTTTGCTACGATACTATCATTCCTTGCGGATTCGACTGGGATAATCGCGTCGCTCAAATGTTTGTTCTATTTCTAGTCGACTGCAGGTAAAGATTCCGTGCTGTTTTCTTTGGATTATTGCGCTGGCTGGTAGTCCCGCTCTCACGCTGACTCTATCTGCTGGCAACATGGTGTTCTTTGACCCAATTCCCAGAAGTACTTTACTTTTTCTCTCCGAGCACACCGCGTGTGATTTGCGGCGATTGGAGCACGGGCTTGGCTTCCCCGAACTCGATGAGGCATGCTGATAAGCAATACACAAGAATCTGTTTGCATTTCTATCCGCCCATCAAAATATTAAAGTATCTCTTAGAAATAAATAAACATCATTTATTCCCTTTGTGGAGCTTCTCGTCGGTGCTCATTCATATTTTAGGCAAAGTTTTTACATCCGCACATGCACGGAATCAATCGAAAATGCGCTCTGACATCATTAAGGGTGTGCTTTGACTTTCAGATTTCCTTTTTAATCTTTCAGATATTCAAATATTTTATTCATTGTTTAACTAATAATACAACGATGAATATTGAGTGAATTAGGAGATTTGACGCCTTTTTTTTTCCCCCTGCACAGGCGCCTGTGTGAGAACAAAAACCCGGCGCCGTTTTTATTATTGATGCCTTCACGTTACATCATGCTCAACTTCCTTTCAAGTGAATTTCCGTCTTCTCTCCAAGGCGGATGCGAGCAACGTGTTGAAGAAGCGGATGAATTCGGCGCCCCTTTTCGACCGGCCGGCCAAGACCTTCCCTAACCCGCCCGTCAGCGCCCAGGCCTTCCTGCAGCAAGGCTCCGCCGTGCCGGCCAACAACGTCCTGACCGGCACGAGCATCATCGACAAATACTCTCGCATCCTCTTCCCGCTTTCCTTCGGCGCCTTCAACTTGGTCTACTGGATTGTGTACCTCACCAAGGACACCATGGAGATGACCAGGTGAACATCATGGCATGCTTACTATTTGAAAATACCGCTTTGTCAGCGGTGCTGGGACTACTTGACGGAACTGCGATGAGAGCACTCGCTCCTTAATTTTGTGCGTGCATGCCTACAAGTGACATGTCTCCGTCTCCGTGAAGCATTTCTGTTTCTTTCGAGCATGCATCGTCTTCGCCTGGGAGCTGAATTTTTGACTTGGCAGCCACACGAGCTTCCTTCGCTTTCATCGCTAATTAGTCACCATATGGCTTTTTAGAAACACGCCTGAAGATTGGTCAAGTGCAACGCAGTAGTTATTAAACATTCTATACAAGAAAAAAAAAACAGGCTCAGTATTTGTGATTTGGTGTTTTGCTAGCACTTGGAGCCTGGAGGTGAATTTTTTGTACAGTGACTACTTGATATGAAAAAGGGCCACATACTGGAACACTGCATGTACAACAGCAACGTAGCTAAGTAGCATGGAAATAAATGGACCGATGCCAGTGTTGAGGAGTGGCAGGCCACTTCCATTTCCTGAAGAATGATGCATGATCCTCGTCTTGAGTCTGGGGCAGCAGCAAAAAGTGAAACAATTGCAACGATTTGTTGGTTCACTCTTTTGTTACAAGGCCAAATTCTGAGGATGTGTAAGATTGTCATCTTGTTTGATTGTGGTGCAGGAGGAATAAATTGCTCCAATTGTGAAAAGTGAAAAAAAAATGTCTGTCTGCCTATCTGTGTATTAGCAAGCTCATGGAGCATTTTTGATTAAAAAAAAAAAAAAATCAATGAGAATAATTCTTCAGATTAAAAACAGAACTCCTCTCCAATCGAGAATGGTGAAAAATCGTGAGGTGTCCGATTATTGTTCATGGAGGATGACAAAACTACAAGATCAAATCATTTTTAAGACACACTCAGCATTTCTCCTCACATCTCTCCCACACGGGGGCTACGAAACGGCAAACCATTTCACATAGCAGTTTGTTTCTACTACGATTGGCCGTCGAACGAATGAATTCATCGTTTCTTGGCTGTCTAGCCGCACATATTGTACATACCAGAAACCACCACTGGCTCTGGTTGATGGAGGGTAATGCAAGATAAAGGGACTGTACCATTTTATATTCAGTGGTTAGCAACGGCGTCTTTACATGTTTGGGTTTATGAAGTAAATGATGACACATTCCCACTGTTAACTTGCAAAGGAATTGTCCCGTAATGCTGCTCAGTAAACAACAAATGACAATCAATATCATACATTTAACCCTTGCGCACTCCTGCTTGGTGGAGATAAAATGTGAAGGGTTCAACAAGCAGGTGCAAGCTAAGTCTGCATCTACAACAGCAAAAGAATTATTTTCGTGCGGTAAATACTGTAAGTTAGTTATTCAGCCAAACTTGAGTTGGAGAGCAAGAAAAATGCACTTGCCACTTTTTTGGGTTACCATAGCAACTCTTGTTAAATTCCTGGAAGGTAAATGCGACTGAATCCTGCTTGGGAGTAATCAACAACACGTTTATTTTTGTGTGAGAAGAGTGTTGGCGATGTCTTATTTAACTACACAAAAGGGTCAGTATATTAGAAACACCTCTCGGCATGACGCAGCGTCGCTCTTGCCGATCTCAGTGGATTGCGCAACTTGAGAGCCTTCCATCCAAATCCAAGGTACAAAAAAAAAAAAAAATGCTTCCCCCGGCCCCCTCCAGTCAGTGTCTTCAAAAGCACATTTAGTTTCACATCAGAAAGCGAGACTTGAGATAGGGCAGACATGACACGAGGTTTTTAAACGACTGCAGCTTTGATGGTGTTATTATGGCAGATGAAATGAGGCTGTTGCAACATCAGCTCAACGTGTGGTTTGACACTTAGCCTGAATGCTATTCAAAGGACGAAAACCTGTTTATGATGCACGCGTGTAGGCAGCCGTGTGTCTTTTTCCACCCACAGTATATGCTGTACACATCTATGCGTCCTATTTGTGCATCGTATCAGTTATCTTATTTTTATCTGCGTCGGTCTTCCTGGCCCCCGATGTGATTTATCGTTAAAAATGGAAAAAACCCAGACGTCAAATGAGACACACGTAACCAGTGGTGGGGAAGTAACGAAGCACAAATACTTCATTAACTAAAGGAATTGAATACATCTGCTTTTGCCGGACACAGGTGTCAAACTCAAGGCCCGGGGGGCCAGATCCGGCCCGCCACATCATTTCACATGGCCCGCAAAAGCAAATCATGTGCGCTTATGATCCTTCCTAAAATCTGTACCGAAATGTCAAATTATCTTCTTTAATAAATAACGTTGAGATTTTGTTACAGTGTTCACACTCACTTGCAGAAGAATTGAGCAAACTATTCTAGTTGACTGGTTTGAAAACTACTAATCCATGAATTTGTTGTGCACAACTTATCAGGTGATGAGACGACGAAACATTTTTGCAGTTTCACTGTCATGACGGCCCTCCGAGGGAAGACGTAACTCCAAAGTTGCCCGTGACAAAAATGAGTTGGACACCCCTTGGTTTAACACAAGTAGCTGTGCTTATTTTTGCCACCCTATAACTTTGCCTTGATCGGGATTGTGAGCAAGATAGTTCATCATGATCAGAAAAAAAGCAGTAAGACCTGAGTTCTAAACAACAAGTGTTTTTTTGTTTTTTTTTCCTGTATGACTCGCGTATGCGTTTGTGACCCGACATTCACTCAATACAAGCGCATTGAGAAAATGCAAAGAGAGTGTTGAAAGACTCGAGAAGGTGATAAAAGACTCTGCATCCCAGAGGCGATAGCCGCAAGTCCCCCGGGGTGCCACAGGCGCTCAGCGGGCCAGCCGGTCCAAAGCAGCGCTGTACACCTGTTTGACATCGTGATCGATTGCACTCGAATTATCTCTCCACGGCAAACGTCAGGGTGTTTAACATGAAATAAATCTCAAACATTTGCTTTTTCTTTTTGAACCTGCATATTGGCTGCAACCTGAAGAGAGAGAGAGTGTGTGTATGTGTGAGTGTGTGTCGTCATTTAAAATACATAATGCACTGCAGCATTAATCTTGATAAATTAAAAACATAGATTAGATCAAAACTAGCCAGGAAGGAAGGCTGTGGTGTTTATATCATTTGTAATCAACGCCACGGCTAAATTATCTGTGCTAATTAGCGTAGTGCTAATCACTTGGATGGGTTAAATGTAGTAATCAAATGTTGCAGCGGATGTCAAAATGAATTCATGACAAAGTCGTAATCTTCTAATTAATTTGGATTGTTTCTCGTTTCTTACCATCTGCCATATCATTAGGAACACATGTATAGCAAAATACCGTTTGTTATTTTGACGTTTGATACTGTAAAGTGCTTTGCGATTTACTCTGGGCATGAAAACAGGCCCCTGTGCTTCATTGAACTATTCAAGTAAATGAAATTTTTCACAATATTCTCTTTATTGAGATGCATTTGTATCTTCAGGATAAAAAAAATAAATAAAACAATTTACTTTTTCAAAATGAATGTACTCTATATGCGGATGTTATTACAATAAATGATATATCGGTACTTTTGTAATTTGGGCCCTGGGGTGTCCTGTAATTTCGGTTACAAACTCCAAAATCCCTGATGTAACAACTATCAGCATCATCTTTTTTTAAATTTATTTATTTATTACATTTTGGGGAAATCTGTAAAAACACAACAAAATCACCAAACAAGGAGTTGCTTCAATTCACCCTTTGCGGATGACCTTGCCCCTGATGACTGTGAATCTACTCATAGAAAATACAATCGTCAGCAACCACATTGGGATTTGTAATTTTTTTCTTTTCCCCCCAATTGATATTGTGATCGTAATTTAAAAATAACTGTTATTATGCTCACAATGTACTGTATATCTTTCTGGTTGTAATTTGCAGAGTGGGATAGTGCTTGAACAATTCTGTTCAGTAGATGTTGGGTTTGTGTATCTCTGTGGAAACATCTCCGCGGAGTTGACAGATTGCTTGCGTGGGCTTGCGGATACTCCGGCTTCCTCCCACATCCCAAAACAACACGCGTCTTAGGATAATTAAAGACTCCAAACTGCCCATCGCTGTAAATGGGAGAGTGAATGTTTGTTTGTCTCGATGCGCCTTAACGACTGGCTGACGACCACTCCTGGGTGTACCCCACCTCAGCCGCGATAGGCTCCAGCTCACCAGCAACCCCACTGAGGACAAGCGCTCTCGAAAATGGACGGCTGGATATTCCACCGGTGCCATTTAAGATACATTCACATCGGCATTTCTTGACAGCGCAGCCCACACTGTTGAGCCTCTGACCCGAACATCCATCCACCTTAAGCTCTTCCATTAAGCACAAGCAGACTAAAAGCATGCAACCGTCCTCCCGCCCCTACACACACAACTCCCACCCATCATGTTTTTTTTTTTTTTTTTTGTATGTTTGCCTCTATTCGCACAGGCCCTCCTGCAGGGATGAGCTGGACCAGAAGAGTCCCGTCTGTTGTGTGAGAGTGTGTGCAGGTGGATTCATGTACTGTATATGTGTGTGTGTGTGTGTGTGTGTGTGTGTGTGTGTGTGTGTGTGTGTGTGTGTGTGTGTGTGTGTGTGTGTGCCGACTCCTACTTGGGGTGATAAAGGCGAACAAGTGTGTAAATGTGCCGTGGCGGCAGAAGTAGTGCCGACTGACTGCAGGCTACTTTCATGAATAGCGCCATTCAGAGGTCGGGGGGGGGGGGATATGTGAAGGAAACAAATTTGCTGAAAATACTTCCTTCCATGAGAGGCCGCAGCTGGTGGATGCACCGGTGGCTACGAATGTGTGTGTGTGTGTGTGTGTGTGTGTGTGTGTGTGTGTGTGTGTGTGTGTGTGTTCTTTTTTATCCGCCCGTCAGAGGCAGGAGGGGGGGCCACAACACGTAACGAGGATTCCATTACAGGCCAACAAGAGGGACACAAGCAGCGATAGCGTATCTATCATTCTCCCTTAGCCACGTGGGCCCGCAGGGGAATCGCCGCTTCCTCCCGACTTTCGCTTGTTCGATCCGGGATGTGGGTGCGCGTGATTGTCACGCACGGCCACATTTCTCACGGGCGCAGTTCACGCTCAAGTTGAGAATGGAGCATTTTTACGACATCGAAGAGGATCGCACACGACTCTTTTGCGGACTTTCACACGAGTCCCTTGGTTGGTCCCGTGTGGAAACTGTCCCGTCGCCAAGTGAAGTAGCATCGAGGATGTTGTGGGACAATGTAGCGTGGACACTGCATGTGCAACGTTTGAAGCCATCTGGTCATTTGACTCCGTGCATTTATGTAACCCAGAGGTCAAACGTTCAGGAATTAGTCCTCGTCTGAAGTCGCCGCACATTCAATTGGGATTAATCAGTCGCAATGGAGTCCCTTCATCAAAAAGAATGGATTCAGGAGACCCTCGAGAGTTTTTTTTAGAGATTTTGGGGGAGAAAAGTGTACCTAAGGCCTGGGGCCACACAAGCATCTCATTTCTTGTTGTACTTTGGCCTTTCATCCGCATGCAAGTGGCAATAATCATGTGGAAAAATGACTCTTCGGTTTTGACAACTGTGAATTATATTAACTGTAATAAATATTGGTATGGAAAACACTTCAAAGCCAGCAATTTAAAACAATCCAATTCAAAGCAGTATTTGCGACAGCGTGTTGTTGCCTGCGCGGATTAGCAGTACATCTAAAGGGCTTCATAATGCGTGACGGCGGCATTAACAGTTGATTTTTCTGCACTAAATTGCACTTGAAATGCACCATATGTGTTTGCATGTAAACAGAGATGCTTTTCAATGCCCCTGTCTGTGAATATAGATCTTTTTTTGTTTTAATCCTAAATTAGCCAATTCTCTTACGGATTTCTATTGTCTCCACACATCTTCATCATTATTAATTTCTGCATGATGTTTGCAATGCTAATCAGCATGCGGCAAAAGCAAATGAATTCCGGTATTTAGTTCATATAATTAGTTCATATAATTTGCTTCTGAATACATTTTTTTGCCTTGTATTTTAAATTTGATGTGTTAACTTTGGCATGACTGGAAAAAAATACAAAATTCATTTTTAATCGGGGTCGAGCTTGCTCCTTTGGGTTTTGTTAAATTTGGCACGTAGCTCTCGAAAGCACTCACAGTCATGCACTCGTTCATTCAAGCCTTTTTTTAATTGGTGCCGGCAACCCTAAACCGCGGCAGCCAGTTTCAGTGCTAAAATAAGTTCAAGTTTTATGTCGAGTTACAATTCTGGTTGAGTTTGACCAAACTTTGTCCAATAAACAACACAACAAAAAGCACAACGGGAGAGGGAAAAAAAAAAGATTTTTGCCAGCAGCCATGTGACATCGGCGAGTGAAAGTATCTCTCGGCGATGTAAGCTTCCTTCTGCTCCGACATGTCAAGAGGAGGAAGAGGAGGAAGGAGGTGTAAGCTCTGCAGTGCAAGTTTTCAGACAAAGTTCCCAGCAGGCAACACAGTGCAACTGACAAAATTTGAAATTTCAGAATTTGGCCTGTAATGAGCAGAGGCTGTTACATCATTGTAAAGAAGTGAGCGTGTGCGAGCACATGTGGCTGCTGGGAACGATGTCGGTAGCTGTTGCATGTCGGACTGGGCTAACTCAATGAATTATTCAAGGTGAAAAGTTTCCATCGACATGACTGGAAATACAGTACCGGATTAAAATTTATAGATATCCAAACTTTGAGCTGGTGTTGGTATGTATTGATTATTCTAAAAAAAAAAAAAAATGTTTATGACAGTAAAATTATCCAAGGATTGGTATAAAGTTTGAAATTGCGCTTTTGCTTTTATTTGTTTTCCAGGGATTCCGTCTGAACCGGCAGACCATGGACATTGCACAGATGCAACTGCAGAGAGAGACAAACATGCATACAAGAGGGTGACCCAACGACAACCCTGGTCTCATCAACCATTCGTCACGCGCGTGTGTGTGTGTGTGTGCGTGCGTGCGTGCGTGCGTGCGTGTGTGTGTGTGTGTGAGTGATGCATGGCAAGAAAGTCTCTCATCGCGTGTCAGTGCATTGTATGTCCTTTTTAAGTTTCCTTTCAAAAAAAAAAAGTGTCTTTAGAGTAGATGCTCTCGCCAACTTAATTCAAGTGTGCAAAGGTGTCTCCTTAGGATAATCAAAACATGGTTCGGATGTGGCTATCGCCTGGTAGCAAGGCTGAGGAGCAGCAGGCTCTGCTTAACTTTTGCTCATGCATGTCCAGACTCAGTGAATGAGATTCTGCATGTGTTCAAAATCATACATTCGCCTCCCCCATCGTCTTTTATTTATTTATTTGTTTGATTTTTTTTTTTGGATGGAATGAGTGTACTCCACGTAATGGGCTGACTTACCCTCTCCAATTCTCACTTCACACTCAATCACATCCTTTCCGCATGCGGCCGCGCGGAAAGAGGACCCGAGGGAACATCTTCAAAATAAAACATTTTCAAGTGGCATGTACTGCAGATAGTTTGCACAAATGTGAAATGACAGTAATTCCATCATTTCGTAGCTCTTCATATCTATCTATCTATAGCTATCTATCTATATATACATATATATCTATATCTATATATATGTATGTATGTATGTATGTGTATATATATATATGTTCTGATATGATTCGAGAATGGAGCGATTTCAGCGAGTAACGATTCAGCACAATTCGGATTGAATTTGATATGGTGCGGCTGAAGCTGTTGCCATGGTTATTAATATGCAACATGTAAAAGCTCTCCAAAGCCCAAGCGAGCCAACAAATTCAATGAAAGAGCAAACGAGAAGCGACATCAAATTGCTGTACATCTCTTATAAAAGACGATATATATATATATATATATGTGTGTGTGCATGTGTGCGTGTGTGTGTGTGTGTGTGTGTTGACTATTGATTGAATGGCGACCAGTGCAGGGTATCTTCTGTCTGCCAGGAGAGGCTCCTGCTCCCCACAACTCTGAACAGGATCGGTGGCACAGGACATGGATGGATGGATACATGGAATCAACTATTTTTTGCCTTATCTGTCTTAAAATAAGATCGGATTTTATTTTTTTATAAAGCGCTTTTTAGGGGTGTGCAAGAAGGTACGCATTCGCTGGTGTAACACATTATTAAACTGGTAGAAAAGGTGGTGAATTGACACTTTCGAGGAAGAAATGTCATAATCAAACTTACAAATGCGATTGATGGTCGCTAAAAATCGTTCGATACACTCAATTCTCTGCCAGCCAATCAACAGACAGCGGTGTGTCTTGCCCCGCCCTCCACAAGTGTACTGAAAGGACCTTTTAGAATAGACACATGACCATGAGCATGGCGGCTTCCTCCATCTGTATATTCATTCCTAGCTGAGGGTGCATGCGGTTAAGCTAAATTGGGAACATTTGGGGATGTGCGCTACACACTCTCAAAAACAACTAATGAATTTTGTAGCATTGCATAAACTGATCAAAACAAAGCCACGGTGGATTCATGCAGTCAGACTTGGGGGCTGGAAGTGTGTGATCATCAAGAGTTGCATAAGATATGAAAAAAAACAACAAAAAAAAAACAGTACAATCCTGTTCATAGACGAAGGCTTCTTAGTATCTCAGCAACAGCGTATGTACACTTGAGAAAATGATGATTGTCATTCCTCTTGAAAAATTAGCACGCTTTATCCCCTCCACCCCCCCCGTCCGTGAATGCAAAACGTGTTTGCCAGTACTTAATTAAGAAGACAGCTTCTGGCTTCTTGTTCTCATTTAACCACGAGCGAAAAATAGAAACCTCAACCCAGAATCATCAATAACGCAGGTTGCCAAAACATCTTCATTAGTAATCCACTTGTGTGGATTATGCAGTTTACGGCTAAGCGCTAACAGGTTGTGTTGTGTAAACGCGTGCTGCCTCACCACATTCATCATCCTGTCGCTTTTTTTTTCCCCCCTCCCTCATTAAAAGTGGGTACCGTTAACACGGGCACCTTTTCAAATGAACCTCCTTTAAGAAGGTTTTAAAAGAGATGCATGTACAATAGGTATGCCGGTTATTAATAATGTCATAGAAATCCTGATGCATATGCTTTATTGATGACCTAAATATATCGAGTTCATCGTGGACTGCTAGCACGAACAATAATTTTTATGAATCCCTCTTTAAAGTGCATAATTGGCATGATGAATGTATGATCAACGTATGATGTCTACCGTGTAGATCAGAGTTGGTGTGATGAGCTGCACAGAGGTGTCGCCGCACAACGATGATAAAGTCATCTCATCATAATTAGAATCGTAAAAAAAGAATAAAAATCAAAAAATAAGATTTGGCTGAATTTGCCATTTCAGTTCGTCAATATTTTTATTTAGCAGGCACATTAGAAGAACAGTAGCTGCTGAATGCTTTGATTTACTTCCGATGATAAATATTTAATTTGATCATATGATATGAACATGGAAAAACGTATGTTTTTATTTCTTTATTGATTGTTTCTCATAATAAGTGATGTAGTGCCCAATCTGCATTAATGGTTAAGAATACATCCATTTGTCTTATCATCACCATCAGTTACCATGATTAGTCTATTTTTTTTTATAATATATTTGCTGTCAATTGTCATTTGTAATTTTAAACTTTTAAATATTATATTTTGATCATTATTTTTTTTAAATTTCTGTATTTGTATTAATTCATCACTTCATTTAAAATGTTTGTCGTCACACTTTTTTTTTTTGTGTGGCACTTTATTTTGTAAGGGGGGCACCAATTTGGCCCTACAGTGAGGCCGCATCACGCCACTTGATGAAAACGTTGCATTTGAAACGTTCGAAAAAAAAAAACAAAACATTTGTGCAACACGCAGTGCAACCTCCATGTCTTTGCCAATAGCCTGTCATTATGTCTAACAGGTCTGACATTTAAAAGCAGCCAACGCGAAATATACGTCGAGGTTCCTGAAAGGCTTTTAAATGTTCATTCTTCTCCACTTGACAGTCCTCCTCTGCACTTTTGTTAGGGGGCGGGGCTCAGGAGCTCTTCCAGATTGCTTGTCCCCTTAATGTGACCTCTGTGGATGTAGTGGCCTCCCATCTGCAGTAAAATGAAATTGATGAAAAACAATCATAAGGGAGGAGCGTGTAAAAATGTTGTATTTGTATGTGTGTGTTTTATTTTTACTAATTTGTCGGAATATTGGATGTGCCCTCTGATCGCACCTCCAGCACGAGCACACTTGCCACACATTTGATATTCTGTATTAACGTGTGTCGAGGTAATTGCAATATTTGAAAGAAAACAGTGGAACCTTGTTTGATAATGAGCTGCACTTCAATAACTGGAGCCTAACTCTTTTTATTGACTCACCACAAGCGTTTGTCCTTTAGGCAGCTGCGTTTTTTTTTACCCTCCCACAGCATTGGAAAAACAATTTGTGGCCCCTGTTGAATGAACGTTTTCCCCCACAAGAATGTTCAATAAAGTCAACATTATTTTGCTGTCCCACTTTGTACAAAAACTGCAGAAATGACAGAGAAAAGTATTGCAGTCGTATGAAGAGTTTCTGTTTCGATGGGAAGCGCAGTCATTGCCAAGAGCTAATGACCAAAACAAAACAAAACAAAAAAAAACAATAACTCAAACCAAGCAAGAATCAACAAAAAATGTGGTCAAAATATGGATTGAGAAGGCTTATTCTGTCTCCTACTTTTTCCCGAATGCAAACGATAGGCCTGCCGCACAGCAAGTTTTAAAGTTGTAATAACTCATTACTAGATAGCAGACATGTCTTAGCTGCTAGGTTTGATTTTTGTGTAAAAATACACAAGAGTTTTGCACTTAATTTCGGTTTATTTTGCAGCAGTTTTGTGCCATCCTTCAATGGCATTTTTTAGGGAACAGCCCTTTGCACTGGGAAATATATATTAAAAAAAATACAGTATGTGGTTATGTTGATGTTTGGTTGAAACCCTTTGGTTTGTTGGGTTAAGATAGTGGATCTTTTAAACATGTGTTAAAATATGTACTCTTAAAAATGAAATATATTTAGAGCAGAAATGCTTGATTTTATACAGGGTATATTCACGCTTTATAAACTAGGACTGCACAATTAGAAACCTCTTTCATGGGATGTCAAGTGCTGACTGATTTTCGCTATTCGCAATTCCACTACACCATCGTGATTGTTCTTATGTAACAACTAGAATACATTTAGCTCAACACAATACTGCACGCATGCAACTAGGCACGCGCGTGCACGCGCGCGCGCGCACACACGTACACACACACACACACACACACACACACACACACACACACACACACGCTGCATAGCAGATTAAGAACTCTGTTGATTTAATTCAATCAACCTATTGTGCTTCAATGCACTTTAAAAACTAACTTCCTGTTTGTTTTGACCATACAGGAGATGCATGCGTGCATTTACTGGCCTCTCGCAGTCTGGGTCACAAAAGTGTACAGTGCCACCTATTGGTGGTGCACAGCCATCTCTCCCATAGCCATCTCTTCATCTCGCATCCCATCCCACACTGATGCATGGTGGCACTCGACGACTCCTACACACTGAGTCACCATATGTTCTTTTTTTTGAGGGCATAGAGAGGACCCACACACATTTCTAAATATGCAAAAAGACTGACATGAGTACAGAAAGGATTTATGTGAATAAATATTAAACCCATAAGTAGAGTAAACCTGTCAGCAGTACATTTGACATAATTAGTGTTATGAATGATAATATATATATACATTGTAACATACAACATACATTGTAAGTTTATGAATGTTTTAAAGTGTGCCACTCCCTTTATGCCTCACAAAGTTTTATACACAGATTTGCAAGGTGTGTGCAGACAAATAAAGCCCAAAAGCCACACTTCACACTCAACCTCGGTGACCGCTAAGTGAGAAACTGTTACTTCCTATGGGGCCTGTGATAACTGAGCATTGC